CAACAGGCTCAAAAGGCATGGCAGTGCACCGTGATTAATAATACTCTAGCAATTAAAAAAAGAAGGGTCAAATCAAACTTATGAAATTCCAAATATAGAAACAGAAGACCATATAACTCAATAACGTCATTGAAGCAGAAAACCATGGCCAACCGTATATCTTAATGACGCAAGACAGGATAAGATATTTATTTAAAGGATACAACGACTCATTTTAACAAATTTATAACTCATCCTGCGCCCCCCCCCCCCAAAAAAAAAAGATTCCAAGTTTAGATGCTTAAAAACTAAACACTGGGCCAAAACCAACCACCTGTACAAATAAAGTTAATCTGATTTTAAACATTTTACGCAGACGGCTAAATTACCATGACATTACAGCTTCAGAGTATGCTGAATCCACTCATATCACCTACTCCTTACCAGACATCCCTCTGTTCCCATGCAAAGTTATGCTCTCTTTCTGTTTCAGTATGATGCCTTTTATCATGGCTAGACTTCTAGCACTTTTGTATCACGTTTTGTTAAGATTTGGGCTCAGTCTTTCTAAGGCAGACAAAAGTTAAGCCAGCAGCCCAGGAGTCAATCAGGCCAAGCATGGCCTTCATAAAGGTTTCAGACTAGATAATGAGCTTCTGAATCGACATTAAGCTGGTTCACTCAATTTGCCGTTAATTTTACTTTAAAAATGGCTGAAAACTTGAGTTTACCCCTTTCATGTACAGTGTAGTTCAGTGCCTATGAGCACCTACAACTATTTCCACAATTCATACTAATACAAAACCAACTCTACTCTCAAGGAACCTTAAATATCATCATATTTTAATCTTATTCCTACTCAGGCGGAGCTCAACTGCCCAAGTTCCTCGATATGTTAATGTCAATATTGATGCTCAGCTGCTGAGAAAGTTGCAACATGACAAAGCGGCATAGAATCGCACAGAATTAAAGTACGCCCATTTAACAGAATACATGTATCAAGTAATTATGAAGATTTGACAAGCCCTTACCTGAGTCTGAATATCATCTCCAGTCACAATATTTCCCACTGTGCGAAGAGCAGGGATAAGAACTGAAGGAGCTGGATGCCTGAAAAAGCATGTGACCAATTTTATTGCTATGTCAACAAACCATCAAAGCAATAAAGTCTATGTGAAGTACAATTAATACTCACAGAAGGAGCTGCACTAATCGGCCACAAACGCCTGCTTCAATAACTGCTTGGATTTTGTCGTTTGTTCCATCAGATAGATATGAAAGTGCCCAGCATGCATCAGTCAGGACTTCTTCATCATTGGAAAAAACCAAACGCTCTAAAGCAGGAAGTGCTGGCTTCACCTGCCCACCAAATTTACAGTATAAAGTGAATGCCAAACAGGACTTGAACAAGATTTATGTTACAGCTACAATTACCAGGTTGAGTTGGGGGTCGTTATAATGATAAATGGGAAACAATCACCTGCTCAAATGGGGGTTGTGGCTTGCCCCTACAAAAATTGGATAGTGTCCACGTGGCATTTCTCAACATTGAAAGCTTTGCATGCTCATTCAACTGGGCCAATAAGGGGCCTAAAGCACCATGACTGAGAACAAGATCACGGCACCTAGGGGAGTCACCGGCAACATTTCCCAATGCCCACACTGCCTGCAAGTTTAGAAATTATGTGTTCATAAGAGTTCAATAAACATACAAAAAAGACAATTGTTGTAAAGCCATATTCAAATTCAAATATCAATATACCTGCTCTCGAACATCATCACTTGGAGAACTGAGTAGCTTAACGAATATTGGGACTGCCCCGTGATCAATTACCACTTTGGTGTTCTCAGATGTTCCAGATGCTATATTAGTAAGAGCCCATGCAGCCTCAAACTAAACACATACAAGTGATACACACACACACACACATATCATTAGAAAGCATAACAAACTTTACACATACTAAGGATTTAAAAGAATACCACAGGATACGGAGTCAAGGAAATTCAAACCTGCAGTTGAGGGAAATCTTCCCTAACTAGAAACTCGACAACAAAACGCGGCACAACACCAGATTGGATAACTTCCTCAATTGGAGGGCTCCGCTCTATGGCAGAAACGGGGAAAATACAGTCTCGAATTACTATAAAAGCTTTGTCACATAGAAACAGCGAGGAATATTAGCGTAGACAGAATCCAGAGTTACCAATAGAAAGCAGTTTTCGAAATTGTGTAGTCGCCTCCAGCTGCAGATTGCTGTCATCCGACCAAACACCAGCAACCATGGAAGGAAGACTCTCCAACTGCAAATAGGAATTGACGTAAGAATTGACCAACAGTTATCAGCCTATTACATTGCCTAACAGATCAAACCTTGTCAACGTGTGCGATTCAACCAAAGAGACAAATATTAAGCACAGAACGTTTATCATATCAAAATGATCATCCCAGAATCTCATACATACAGATCCCGATCAAGCCCTAATTTCTACCAAGCAACATAGGCCATTCAAATGCCTATGCTATTGAATAGAAATGGAGATGCGAAGGGGAAACCTTTTTCTCAACAGTTGAAGCCTGAATAGGAGTGGCGAATTGCTGCTGAGCTTGCAGGCCTTCGCGACGCTTCTTCTGCAGACTCTCTTCGCGCTTGCTCTTACGGATCTCGACCATGTTATCTTCTCTTCTTCGGCGGCCCTCATCGGCGTCCACCGCCACCTTGTAGCGGTTGCGGCGAACCTCAGTTCTAGCATTCGGCCGGAGCGACATCGTTTTACCGTGAAAGCTCGATTAGAACCCTAGCAGCAATCAGCGTATATATATACGCAGAGTAACTAGGAATTCAAAGATCGAGGAATGGAAAACGAAGAAAAACCCTAGATTTTGGATTGAGAAGAGGCAACTGCAACAGCAAACACTGATTTGCGAGCGAGCACTGCCTCCGATTTTTTGAGCAAATTTAAAATTAAATAGCACTGTAGGTCGCGTCGGTTCGGATCTCGCCTGGATGGGTCGGGTCGTAGATCATCATTAATGACGATGATGATTGGATTTACCTGTATGGACGGTACGGGTCACGACGATCTGTTTGTTGTTTGGGAGATTATTTGCTGGATCCGACCTGCATCATATTATATTCTTTCTAGCCGCGTACCGCTTTCTTTTTAATGAATAGTACCATCTTGTTTTGGAATATACACCATTTTTTTGTTATTTTCATGGCTGGTAAAAAATACAATTATATTGTTTACTTAAATTACAGCTTAATAATAACCTAGTTTTAGCCCCAAAAAATGAGGACCATAGCTTAAAAATTTACATAAATTGCAAAAAGTTATAAAATAACAAATTCTATATGAAATAATTTGTTGTTTTTTGGGTTAATATAATTTTTTATTCCTCAAATTTATCTTCTTCATTTTGGTTTTTAGTTCTCTAAGTTTCAAATTATGATTTAGGTCTCTCAAAGTAGGGGTGTTCACGGGACGATCGGGACCGGGACAGGCCCGTCCCGGTTCTCTTCCTGATGAACAGTAACGGGACAGATTTTCTGTCCGTGTCCCGGCCCGTTCCCGGATTGTCCCGGTCCCGTCGGGACGGGACGGATCCGGGACGTCCCGAAATGATTTTTTTTAAATTTTTTTAATTTTTTTTAATTTTTTTAATTTTTTTTAAAAAATCTAATTTTTTAGATTATATTTTTTTGAGCTTAAATCTTATAAAACATCTTTTTATTTTGTTTGGCACCTTAAACAAAAGCTCAAAATATTACATATAATAGTTATTAGAAACTCTAAACAAAGCTTTTAACACAATAAAAACTTGCTAAAAATTCTATTCATCAATAATCTCAATCATTAACAAATATAAAAACTCTAAATAATATATCCATAGTTCCATACAATAGTCTCAAATCTTAAAAAAATATGAAAAAAATGATATTATATAAAAAATTAAAAAAATTATTTTTTTTTAAAAAGGAACCGAGACGGGACGACCCCGTCCGTGTCCCGTCCCGTCCCGGCCCTTTTTTTCCCGTCCTAGTTTGTCCCGTCCCGAAAAATTCGGGACGGATCCGTCCCGTCCCAATCAGACCGGACCGAAACGGGCCGACCGGACGGGCGGTCTTGACACCCCTACTCAAAAGGCAAAATGGTTTAGGTTTTTATTAGATTATAGGGACTAATGTTATAAATGAAAAGAATTTGATGGATTAAATTTGTAGTTTGAAATTTGAAAAATCAAAACCAAAATGAGAGTAAACTTAAAAGATTTAAAATTATATTAACCCTTGTGATTTTATATGCATAAGGATAATAATTGTAAAAGGTAAGTTGTTATTAAATAATTCTAAGAACTAACAAACTGTTGGTTGACATGATAAACAGTTTCACTTTTTGTACAAAGGAAAATGTAAGTTTGAATTTTGAAAAACCACTTATTGGGAGAATTTTAACCATAATTTTTTAACCTGACAAAGATTAGTCTCAAATCAAAAATGACTTGAGGATGCTTTGAGTTATTAAAAAAACAAAAAAATTTTGACACATGGGTGCATGGGATGATAATTTTGGAATTAAACAGTGTTGTTTAAATTTTTAATAATACATACGATTAACAAATTTAAAATTTAATGATATCATTTTAACTGCATGGACAAAGCATAAGCTTAAAATTCAGATTTAAAATACTTTAAAGTGATTTATCTGCTACCAGAATTTGCTGGAAATTTTTTTTCCTAGTTGACTTGCTTTTAATTTTCTTCGTCCTCAAGGAGAGTGGGAAAAACCAGGTTGTAAGGAACCTCTTACGAGTATATCGGCAGCTGAGAAGCGTGATGATTAAGGACGTTGAATGAAGGGTTTGGGCCGTGGGCCTTTTCGTTTCGCTAATGGGCTTCTGGGCCTTTGGTGAGTTTTTCACCCCCGTTTGAGTGGGTGAGTGGAAGGTCAGTTCTTGTCAGATTTTTCCAAAAACCAGGTAAAGAATATCTCTTGCACGCGAATGTAAAGATTCTTTCTCAGCATTCCATTACTTTTCCCGGAAAAGCTCTCTCAAGAAATTGAGCAAACAAGTACATTGGCGGCACTAACAAGAAATATGAACACGGAGACTGAATATAACACAGAACAAAGATAAAGCTCCAAGTATTTACAGTATTCTGGTGGTTTTGTTAAAAGGGGTGGGAAACACAGACAAAAGATAATCATTGGTGTGATTCTCTATTGTGGTGGTGGGTATGGGATTTTTCCCGAGGCATAGTTGAAATGGGCATGAGTAGGGTTCTGGGAGATGTTGCAGGAGAAGAATAAAGCGCAGATGTCTCCAGAACTTGTCGCCTAACATTCTCTTGTTCCAGACAAATTTTCTGGGCACGAACAGCAGTTAAATATAAAGCAGCTGCGAGCAAAACTGTGGTCAAGGATAAAACTCCAGCTGCTGCAAACAAACCCTGTTTGATCACAAGGCATGTAGTTCTGGGATTATTCCAGTTTCTGAGATGCCCGGATTCTACACTCACTCCTGCAAGTAATAGGATCTCCCCAACCGCAAAACATATCCTGCAATATATAGGGATAGTGATTATAGAGAATATTTCAACTGTTTCTGATTTGTTTTGAATATCTAAGCATATCTTAGATTGGGATTCAAAGGGGAAATTGATTACGGCTGATCTTATACCAGGTTGAGACGAAGAGGAAACCAGCTTGGCACGTTAGAAGCCTTGCGGAAGAAGAAGAATCAGCCTCCCATGAAATCAAAGCTGGTGACTTACTAACAGCAATCATCAAGTAAGCATGCTCCATAACTACGGCTATTGCTAGACCAACAAAAGCACAAGAAGCGCATAGCAATGGCACTTTTCCACTATCACTGTATACACATTCTGAGTTCTTCCCTCCCTTTTCTTCTCCTCTATATATTGCCTGCAATATCACATAAACTCACCAAATCAATTTCTGGTATAACTCAATGACTAAAATAATATCTCAAGCGTCACATTGTGTTTGATACAGATACCAGGCAATTGTATGTTATAATACTGGTACACTTTAGCCATGTTTTCAATGCGTCTAACGCATGAACTAGATAACATCAAATTTCAACTTGCATATGAATAAATTCCTCAAATTATATTTCATCATGCCACAGTAGTATCATTCACAGCATATTGTGTCCCATAAGGGTATGTCGGTTGCGAAACTTGATTGTACCTTCACATATACAATTTACTACAGATGCGAAACACAAAATAGCTCTAAGAATACGGCAACATAAGAAGAAGAAGCAGAAGCAGAAATTGTACCTCTGAACGCGTGGTTTCTGCTACGAGACAGAGAGTGAAGCAGATGAAGCCCAAAAGGATTGTCAAAACCACGAGGAAGGCGCCGGTTTTACTTCTCAAATCGATCCTGCCATGGCTAGGTTCAAGATCAGCATGCGTAACCGCCATTTTGCGAGGCATGTTGGAGTCAAAATAGAAGTGGTAAGAGCATAGGAAGATGAAGAAGAAGAGGGAATCAAGGGCATTTAATTAAGTTATGCTCATAAGAATATGGAGAAAGAAGGAATTGGAGTTTCAGAATTGCTTGGGGTAAAGTTGCTTGGGATCAAAGATTCTAGGTTCTAGGGAATTTATGCTAAGCATTCACACAAGGGAATCGTTGCTTCGCACAAAAAGTGCGCCTTCGAAGATATATTTGATGATAATGGTCAATTGTTTGCGCTTGTCTACCCAGCAACACGTGTGCCTTTATGCTTGCCTTTCAGTTTATTTAGTTATATGTAAGCGTTAATGGAATTGCTTTCAACCCACCTTCAAAATATGAAAACAATCTTAGGTGATCTTATTATATATTTTATGATCATATGATCCTGCAGCGCATTTTTGGTGGTATGATCAAATCTTTCTGGAGAAAGAAAGAAAGAAAGGGAATGAATTCTCTGCTTGGGATTTGGGGCAAAGCAAATATAAAAGATGGACGGTTTATAATTATTCATTGGGGCTTAATAGTTAATATTCTTTGTTCAAGCGTTGAAAGATAATGCTGTGCGGAGCATAACTACAAATTCCAAAAAGTGCTTTCCTAATAGCCACCTAATGATTGACACTGACATGTGTGGAAGTATATATAGGAGGGTAGTTATGCTCTTAGAATAACGAGTATGGTTTATCTGCTGTATTGCATATAATATATGAAAAAATAGGTATAACAATTAAATTTTAGGTATATTATTTTTATATTATTATCTCTTCTATCATATTATAACGCTGGTACACAAAATTTAATCTCTTGATGCATTGTCCCAGTGGCAACAAATCCCTTATATGGGAGGGATTGTACGTTGAATTACACGTCTGATTTAGGCCTCTTTCAATTTGAAAAGGGGAAAAAAAGATGGGCTTCCTTGTTCAAATATAAAAGCACCCTTTTGATTATGAGATCAGCTCCCAATAAAAGCACAAACTTTGCACTGCCTACGTATGACTGATTCAACGGAGCCAATCAAAGTAAAGATTATTCTTTCTTGACGATAAAAAGAACTTTGTCTCCAGGTGAAAGTTTTCACAGCCTCTCAAAGTTTCAGATAATGAATGGACAATCTACAAAGCATCCGACCTGTAAAAATGCTGGAGAGAGATCACATTTGTGGATCGTATGTGTAAAATAGAAAATGCCACAAGTGCATACATATAACTTTCTTCATATGTAAGGCAGCCGAAAAACTTATTCCCCGAGTTATGAATGAACCTTTTTTTTCTTTTTTTAACAAGTGATTCCTTGTGCATCCCAAAAGTTGGCTCGTCCTGGGAACCCACTTGTTCCCTTCATATATTCCCTTTGAATGCCTATGGTCTGTAATCAATGAGGGGAATATATCTCCAGAAACCACCTTAAAAGCTGACAAATCCCCAGCTTTTCTCTTATACCACTGGTTCATCAGAGTTCATCTGAGTCATAGTTTCTTCAAGATCTAGCTGGTTCTGCATCTTCAAAAGAAAAAGAAATGGCTTCCGAGAAGAACAGCTCAAGAGGGTTTGAAAGTAGCGGTGGTGGTACAGTAACATGAAGCAAGGAATCTCTTTGGAAGAAGCATCCCACACAAATGGCACAGCCAAATCCAATATGGGGAAGGAATTGGCACGACGAGCTCTTTTGAGGTCTCATCAACGTCGTAATGGAAGAAGGAAAGCTGCAAATAACAGCGTCAAATCGTTGCCAAGCAGGTTGAGCAAAGTTTCGCTGGCAGATGACTCGGGAGAATGAAGTCCTGTAGGTATGGGGCACAACTCACAATTTATAGTTTTCACAAAGGCAAGCAAATTGCCACTTATGGCCATTATGGAAGTTTAAAGTAAGATTTATTTTCTACTGCCTTTGTCGCCAGTCAGATTGTCAAACTTTACATTCATGGACAGTTGTCAGGCTTTGGTTATAATAGTTTATGTGATAGAGATGACAGACACAACCAAACAACTTTCTGAATGTTTTAGAGCACATTTTCCCCCTTAAAAAAAGTTATTGATCGCAGCTCCACAGAGGTGCCAGGTGAGAGGTCTAGAAATAAAAGGCCTCTCGCAAATCATTGGTCTGAACTAATCCTATAGATTATCACACTTTCAGAAAATTAAATGTGATCAAAATTTATGAAAGGCAGTTGTTAATTGTCGCAGAGCAGAGGAATATTTGACATAATCCTTATTGTCAAGATTAGAAAATTGCGACTGAATTAGAAAATTGCAAAACCAGAACTAGTTATCAGTTTGATTAAAAAATTGAAATATATGCCAATCACACACAACGAGTAATCTATATCCAATTTCAGATATCGCGAGACAATAAATTATCGATCATTCAATCAATTTCCAATCCAAAAGTACAGGGAAAACATTGTATGCAGCAGGTAATCAATTACCACTTAGCATATTTAGATAAACACATGGCCCAGGACGCCATCCACGGAGCATTTTATGTTACCTAAAACTTCATTTCCAGACTTGGATTCACAATTCACGATATTCATGATTACAACTGGAGGTCCGAAGCTCAATGAGAACCTGCAATTCTTATTCTTGGTTAAGGAAATGCGTGTGAATAACACATCTATCTATTCCGGTGAATAAGCGATTGTGAATGATCATGAAGGTAACCAGAATTGCGCTAGTATTTTGCTCACACATGATAATTAGCATTACTAATCTTTTTTTTTTTTTGGCCAGCGCATTACTAATCAAATTTGCAAGAGCTAAAGCACAGAAAAAGAATAATGAAAATTGGTATAAATAATGCACTAGCTTTGTACATGTGATATCTCTTCCCCTCACCCTACGAGTAACCTAGTGCATCTTCGTTCAAATTATCACCAGCCATCGTCGAGCAATCGGATGCATCGTGTCCATATTGCCCACACAACGGCCCTGACATGTGCTTTCGCTTCCTACTTATATCAATTCCATCTCTTGCCCTTCTCTCCTTTAGTTTTTCCTAAAGTGATAGAATCATGGGGATTTGCAACTGTAAAACCATGAATTATACCATCAGCATCATCCACCTCCGGCAGAATCAATGAATCTGATTGATAATTATAGGCAATGTCATTCACCCCGTGTGTGTTGACCTAGGAAGGGTTTTGATACGTGATAAAACCATGGAGATTTGCTCGCAAGCAGCACCAAAGCGTTCCTCTGTTTCAATGGATTCCATGACAAGCGTTGAAGCCATGGATTCCAAAAGTTGTATTCTTTCAGAATGATCCCTGGAAATTGTACCCTCGGAAGGGGTTAGCAGAAGATGAACAGGTACTACGCCAACGGGAAGGTACATACTGGTCAGGAATGTGAAAACAGTTGTTATTTGACATGACTCTTAATATATGCCTGCATAAGATGCCAGAAAACTCAAACAGACGGCAGCTGCAGCTCATGTGTTCTTGGCAAGGAACCCAAAATACTTTGCACCCTCCATCCATCTGAGTGTGGTGTCTGACCTGAAAGCAACCTTCATCAACCAGAAAGGATGCATATTGTGGTGCCAAAACTAGCTCATCCTGCAGTTTATTAAAGGCATAAGGAGTAAGCATTGTGGCAGCATGGGATTCAATAGGTGAACCAGTTTTGAGGCACACTTTCTGCAGCTTTCGTTGCATCTTTTGCTTTGACCCAGCCCGGTCATTAAATTCGACAATACCAGCAACCTGCAAAAATTGACATTTAAATACGGCATCGAGTATAAATAATTATTAATTAGTTAATAGTTAATATGAAAATATAAAGGACTTTACCAAAAATAATAAAGAAACGAATTATGTATCACATACATGCTCTACAAAGCGATCTAGTTGTGATTGGGCACCCAAGAACCGTTGGATGAAAGCATTGATGGACTCCGATTGACTAGTGCCAGTCAATCCTGCAAAGAAGTAGCACCTCAAGAATGGTAAGGCCCAAAATGTCCTTAATGAGTATAGGCTAACAATGTGCTTATTTGCATGGAGTCCATATTTATCAACCATTTGCCCCCAGCCTTCCTCAAAATCTTCCACCAGTTCCAAATTGTAGAGCCGATGGAACTCAGCTTTCCACTCATCATAATGTGATCCAAGAAGTACAGAGAACCAGTCAGAGAATTTGGCAATAATGTGCCATATGCAAAAGGCATGTTTGGTTCCAGGCATTTCAACAGCAATGGCTTCTTTGAGCCACATGTTATGATCCGTTAACATGGTTTGTGGAGCCTTTCCTTCGATGAAGCTTAATAATGCCTGTGTATTTTGTCAATTAGAAGAAATTAAAAAAAAGGGTCAAATGGTGTGTACATAGCAAATAACTCAAGCCTGCAATAGATAACAGGAGAACTCCACAAGGTTCATATTACCTTCAGAGCCCACGAAAAAGACTGAATATTTTCATCCCGCAGAAGAGCACAACCAAAGAAACAAGACATTCCATGATTGTCCACTCCAAGCCAAATCCCCAACAACATGTCATAGGCATCCAGACGGTGTGTTGTATCAAAAACCACAGCATCTCCGAATGACTCGTACAATTGAATAGATGAGGCATACGACCAGGCAATATGCTCTAGCCTGTTATTACTATCAATCTTAAACTCATACTTGAAGTTGTGATTTTCATCTTTCAATCTCTTGCACATAGCAATAAGATCAATAGCATCATTGTCTCTATCAACATTTCTAAATGACTGCAACAAGTTTCTCACATCAATCTCTGTGAAAGGTAAACAACCAAGTTTGATGCCTTCTCAAGTCCATCAATCTTACATTTGCCTCACTGACATCCCAGCTTTAGCAAACATGCATATACG